CAATAATGCAATGTGAAATGGTATATATACAAATAAAGTTAAAGCCATTTATGCAAATAAAACCAACAGTACATGTTATCTACAAACTGAACGGTCAGAGTTCATTTCTGATCTGTTAATAATATGAATCCAAAAACAATGTAAAACGGCTTTAAATACTACACCAGTCTACCATAATGTAAAAATGTAATGATAAAATAAATAAACCCATTACCAGAATAGAATATGATAAAAGGAAAGGGCATAGATACATGATCATGTAGACTATCAAAATCGGCCTAGGATATTCAATCGCATTTCGGTCTCCCCGCACGGCGGAGAGAGATCGTAATATTCAGTATGGCTTTCGCGGTGAGGCTATCTGTGCTCCGTAGACGCTGATCGAAGATCGTCTCGGCCTCTGTGGGGAAGGACCGAAATATTCATGATCATGTAGACTATCAAAATCGGCCTAGGATATTCAATCGCATTTCGGTCTCCCCGCACGGCGGAGAGAGATCGTAATATTCAGTATGGCTTTCGCGGTGAGGCTATCTGTGCTCCGTAGACGCTGATCGAAGATCGTCTCGGCCTCTGTGGGGAAGGACCGAAATATTCCGCACAGCTTTCGCGGTAAAGGCTTCTTGATGCTTCTTCCTCTGTCCAGTCTTGTCTCCTACCGCAAAAACGATTCTGGTTTCTCAGCGTCAGAATCGTTTTTTGAAGAACAACACTAGTTTCTAGTTGCCAGGTTCAATTTTTGAAAAACTACACTAGTCTCTAGTTGACACTAGTTGCCAGGTTCGTTTTTGAAAAATAAAACTAGAAACTAGACGCTTACTTTAACGCCCTGAGCGCCATGACTAGACCTCCCTAATCAGTGGTGAAAATTGAATTTTGTCTCACATTGTGCTGAAATACCAGTTACTTTACTCATCTGGGAAAAGTATCATTCTCCATCTCTTGAGCCCATCATTCGTAGGGCCACGTTTTTTTTGCTTGATATTTGAAATATTTGATATTTAGGAAAACATCTATGACTATAGTAAATTTATAATACGAGAGCGCAGACTGATTTTTGATTATTGATTGATTATTGATCCCTATCACCACCAAAAACTAATCACTTCTAAGTTAACCCATTTCTGACCTACCCTGAAAATTTCGTCAAAATCGGTCCATAACTTTTTGAGTTAATTATGTTGATGACAAACAGACAGAATGACAGACAGACAAACAGGGGTGAAAACATAACCTCCTTGGCGGAGGTAATAATTTGTCAGCTCAAACTATCTCCTTTTAGTTTTACATTTTGAATTTCATCATGAACTAGAATGAGCTTGTTTACCACAGTGTTCTTTGTTACCAATCTGTTAAATCAGGGTTTTCTTTCCACTGTACAGGGGCTAGCGAAAGTTTCGCACAAAGCAATCAATAACTGACAGCTCTTAGATATGTTTTTCGTTGAAAGATATTTTATTCATTTTGAAAAAAATATGCTTTCTAATTGGTATGTGGAAAAAGTAATTTTAAAAGTAACTTATTAGATTTTAAAAATGTGCTCTCAATTTGATTTCAACAAGCCTTTGACCCGACCCAGCCTAATGGCACCGTGGAATGGTGCAAGATCACTATGATCACCCTGGATATATTAATGAAGGATGAGCGATTCAAGGCCCCAATTTCAATAATAATAATAATAATAATGATAATGATAATAAGTCAGTACCCTGCCATTGAGAGTGCTGTTAAACTACTCCTGATAAGGTAAATGTGCCCATGTACCATTGGTAATCAAGTTCTTAGCCAGAGAACCTGACACATTTTTTTTTTTTTTTTTTTTTTTTTTTGTGAACCCGGGGCTTTTGGCCTGGGGGACTTAATGGAATGTACTGGCCTTTCCAACGGACACTTGACCCCCCTGGACCAAGGATCTTATCTGAAGATTGACAAAGATGTTTCAGGTAAAAAATGATGTGGGCCCAGATACATCATATTATTTATGTATCGAGGAAAATGTGCTAGGAAAAATTTGCTGCAGTAGTTAGAGAATTCTTTTTACTCAAGGGAAATTTATTATGGAATGTAATTGATTAATAAATCATACTTCTGTATTATTTCAGATCACACTTCCAAGAGCAACAAACACACTCACAGTACCATGGCGCAATTTAAAGTCTCATAGGCCAATACTTATGGATCATATCTGATAGATATTTTTTTTTTTCTTTTAGCTAACAAAAGTTAGTTAACAAGCAATCACCTTTCACGAAATAGTTCATAAACGCATTTTGCACTTTTAAAGACAGAAGCAACAGAGGACCAGATGCATACTGCTTGACGACCATATGGTCACTTTTTTTTTCTCTCAACAGACAACTGAAAAAAAAATGCTGTTCAACCGTGAAGAAGGCAAGCAATACATGTATCTATGTACATAGAGAACAAGGGCCTAAATCAGCCACTGATGTTATACATGTATATATTGTTAAGATGCAGAAAATGTAAAAAATAAAAATAAAATAAATAAATAAAACACTTTTACGCATCTAATTTGTTCAATAATGAGACTGTTAACATACATAAGAATTGAATCTGAGAAACCCATTTATATACACAAAAGGTATTAATTCATCAACTAAACCGATCAATGTAATTTTTGAACTTGATCTGTATATTAGTCCTAAGAATCAGTTCTGCATAATTTAAAGCAAAATGTGACATGGTTTTCATGTTATCTGTATAACAGAATACAATATGCTGAAAAAGCAGATCAAGCTGACTTTCAAACTCAACCTGTATTTCAGTAGGATTGATCATTCCTGTGAGTTTCAAGACAATAGGCCTATTGGTTTTGCTTGAAATATGTTAACAGTATTGCATATATGCTAAAAAAAAAAGGAGAAAAAAAACAAGTTTTGAAAAAAAGGCCCAATCATGCTGACTTTCAAGCTTGACCTGCATTTCATGAATATTCATCAGTTCCCTAAGTTTGAAGACAAAAGGTGAAACATTTTTCCACTTATTGTGCTATGACTGAAAGTGCATGGCGACGAGGATGATGGCAACAGTGAAGACAGACGCAGGTGATGGCTACATGTACAGACCCTTTATTAAGTACAATTATTACCTTTGCTTTACCACAGCCGTTCAATCCTGGCTTCAAGTTTAATAAATTAAATGTTCATTGTGCGCTTGGCTCATGTACATGTATGAGGATTCTCCTTGGGGCAGTAATACACTTCTTGCTACATTATACTACTGTATGAGTATGTCAGATAGTTTAGCCCAAGTTAATCTTTATTCTACAGTAATCAGATAAATTAGAATGATGCACTAATAATATCAGTACAATAGTAAAAGGCAGGCATAAGGCACTATTATTATTATTATTATTATTATTGTAGTTATTATGGCAGCCATGAAATATCACAGTTCAGTGCAATCACATTTACTTGCAGATCTCGGTATCAGAAGCCTTGAAGGCTCTGTTCTGTCCCAAACAACAAGAAACGAAATAAAATGTACTTTAGAAAATTACAAACCGTTTCATCTTTGCTCCTTCGCAAACAAACATGTACTGATCTACAATTTTAACATTCTATGGAAAAAAAACACAAAATGGCAACGAGTGCTTTAAAAATACAATACAATAAATAAATATATACACCTGTACTATACATTTAATATTTTAGGTTTACAGCTATTTTGCTTTGATTTAATCTTATGCTCCTTAACATCTTAATGTACGATAATGACTTGATCTTTTCAATGGGGGAAAAATTGTGAATTTTACAGAAACTGTATTTTTTAAAGTCCTATTTCTTAAAATAAAAGCATTCCTATCGTGTGGTTGCAACAAAATTGAAAATCAGACTACCCTATAGTTCTATTCTATGCATTAAAAGCACCACAAATGCTATGCAAAATATAATTTTTATGATTTTAAACTGATATATCTGAAAGTTTGATCATTTTTGCCCATTGAAAATATCAAGTCATCATTGTATATATCTACATTTTGTACTATATACAAAAACTTTCTTTGGCTAGCAATTTCTTCACTAAACATGTATTGATACTATAAGTATCAAATTTAAACAACATAACATTAGTTTATAGACCCAGTCAAACAATGTGGCCCCTAACTGTGGTGTCCTCAGACAAGGACAGTAACACAAGAATTCAACCTGACTGAGTCCTTCCATTATTCACCAAGGTCAGTGCTCCCTGGGAAGTCTATAGCAAGCACCATGTTGACGTCATTCAGACCTAGACCGGTTCAGTCCATCTATGTCTGAATCCACCTTACCATGTATACACATGCGCACTGTACATGTACAAGATAATACCTAAAGTCATACCGACTTTAGATTTACATTTCAATTTTAAGTTAGTATCACAGCAATGGGAATGACCAATTTTCATTAAACATATACATAAATGTGCACAGTTATTTATTATACCTTTTATACTATAATATAGAACACAAAACAAAATTTAACACAAATATACGCATACTAGTATTATGAAATACACTCTTGAATATTACTCTTAGATGTTAGGATGTGGAAAAGATGAAGGGTGGGGGTAAGCGAATCTCTCAAAAGGTCCAGAGTCTTTTTCGAGCAAACGTCTTTAGTCAAGGTGACAAACATCAACATCATTATTAATTAAACATAATACCTCCACCCTACCGGGATATAACCCATGTTTCAGAAAACAAAAATACTAGTAATACATTTTTTCTCACAATCCCCCACCCCCCACACACACACACACACACACACACACA